TGGCCGCTCCCGCCCGGCCGCAGCGAGCGCCAGCGCTGCTCGAACTCCTCCTCCGCCTCGGTGGCGCCCTTCGCGCACAGGTAGGTCAGCAGCAGGTGCACCTCCTCGGCCGTGGGCCGCTGCTCCGGCTGCAGCCAGCAGAACTGCATCACCTCGTACCTGAGGGGAAGTCCCCATCGGTGGCTCCAACCACATCAGAGGCACCGCCTGGCTAGGAACCCCCTCAGAGGGGGAAGGATTGGGGTTTTCCTACACTCCAAGTGCCTCAAGGGGAGTTAAGGGAATCTCCCACTTAATTCAGTGCCACCTCAAATCTCCCAGGGTGGGCCCAGCAGTGTGGGAGCAGGTGGTAGGGCTGGGCACTTCCCTGGGGTTCACCCCTTTCCTGCTGGGGGAGGGATGCAGAGGCCACGTGAGGGGAGAGGAGAGGCCAGAGAGGGCTGGAACCACAGGCAGTCAGGTGAGCCACCTCTGCACTGGGGACTCAGGACACCACCTCCCCCACCCCCTACCCCTGTCTGAGTCTTGCTGTCCTGGGCAGGGCAGGAGGCACTCTGGGGTCCTCACCAGCGGTCGGACAGGGTCAACTGCAGCTGGGGCTTGGGCAGCTTGAGTTGCTGTTCCCGGACGGCATAAGCCAGCACCTGCCGGTCCGAGTGCTGGGGGTAGGGCTGTGTGCCCAGTTCAAAGAGCTCCCAGATGGTCACTCCCAGGGACCTGTGGGGCAACAGCCACAAGACAAAGCTGGACATGGCTGGGCAGCTCCCATCACCATGCCAGCGCCTCCAGGACCACAGCTCGGTACCCCACCAGCTGCCATTCAACAAGGACAGTCATCCTTTCAGTGTGCTTTGAATCCACTGTGGGTCCTGGGAGCCCTACAAACCCTGACCCTGTCAAGATGGCACCTCCACCAGTGCAGGTCCCCACCAAGCCAGCTGCTGTGGGTCACTGCCCCTGGCAGTTACAGGTGGCACCAGCTGCCCCCCATGACCTCACATCAAACCCCCCACGGCCAGGGTTTGACGGGAAGGCAGGCAGGTGGCGTGACACCCTGGGCGCCCAGGCCACACGCACCACACGTTGCTGCTCTTGGTCTGGTCCACCACCAGCAGATTGCTGTGCACCTCGTCCACCAGCTCGGGTGCGATCCAGCGCAGCGGCACCCACAGCTGGTCAGCCGTTACGAAGTAGTCCTCCTGCGGGCACACGGGATGGGTCACTCGCTGGCAGCCAGCCCTGCCCCGCACATCCCGGCCGGTCTGCTGACTCACTCTGTACTTGCAGTGGGACAGGCCGTAGTCGCCAATCTTCACCGTCAGGTCAGCCGTGAGCAAGCAGTTTCGCAGGGCCAGGTCGCTGCGGGGCGGGGGCAGGGTCAGCTGGCTGTGCCAGCCAAGGTAGCCAGCACTCAGGCACTTTGGCCAGCAGCTGGATGGCACCCTGGGCTCGGCTGGGGGAAGGTCGCCCGCCCCATCCCTGCCCAGGACCCCATCCCTGTGCCCGGCACTGCCCATGTTGGAAGGTCCCTGTGGATAGGCCCCAAACATGAGGTGAATGAGGCCCAGAGAGGGCTAGAACCTGTCCAGGACTCCCAGTGAAGGCACTGCCCAGCCAGCACTGGCGCCCACCCCAGACCTGTCTGCCCTTCTCCTTGGACAGAAGCCAAGGAGACACACCAGGGGGGGCACACCAGGCCAAAGCATCCCCCCTTTGAGTCTAGTCTTCCCAGGGCTTCCCAGCCACTGGCCCTAGCAGCTTTCCTTTCAGTCTAGTCTCCCCTCCCAACCTCAATAAACCACCACCCTCGGCTCCCTAGGAGGTAGGAACCAGTGGGGAAACTGAGACCTGGAGTGTCCCAGAGGTCCTGCCCTGCTTGCACAGGGCTGGGACTGAGGCTCGCCCTGGGCCACCCTCCTGGTCCCAGGACAGGGTGGGGTCTACAAGCACCTGGGGTACCCCTGGCTACCTCCCACCCAGTGGCCAGCCTTGGCTCTTATCCCCTGCCTGGCTGGGGGAGGGGGTCACGTGAGTTTTTGGGGATGCAGGGCACAAGGGTAAATATGGGGGTGGCCCACACCCACTCTATCGCTGCTGTGCTCAGGACTCAGAATGGGAAAGGAGACAGCCCAGTCTTTCCCTCCCCGTGAGGCCCACGTCTGTGTGCCAGGGGACAGCTGCGGGCCATGTGTCCTGGGCCTGTGGGTTGGGCGGGGGCACGGCGGGCAGGTCGGGAGGCTGGCAGCTGCCCTCTTCAACAAAATCACTGATGCTGGAGTTGTGTGTGTCATCACTCAGCACCAGGATATTGTTGGGGAGGACGGCCGTGCGGCATCTGGGGCTGGCGGAGCCGCGCGTCCTTCACCACTTCTTCCAGCACGTCCCCTAGGCTCCCATCTTTCCGACTGCTAGGGCAGGACAGGTCCCTCCCTCCCACTGTGGGGCCTCCGAAGCCCTCCCTTTGGAGCCTGAGGGAGACAGAGGGTGGTAGCTGACTCCTGGGGACGGAGGCCAGGCCAGCCAGACAGTATGACTTTCTTCATGTAATCCTCCTGCAAAGCAGCTGTCAAACCCCTTTTTTGCCAGTCTTAAAAACCTTGATAAAATTCCCTTACAGAGTGGCCATTCAATGTTGTATAGAGATGAACCCAGATACCCCTCGTAGCACCCCGTGAAGTAGGAATCACCCATACACCTTCTTCAGGGGAGGGGCCGAGGCACAAAGAGCAGCCCTATCCAAGGATATAGCAGGCAGGGACCCGGCCCGAGGGCTTCCCAGCCACTGGCCCTAGCACCCAACCCTCACCTGTGCACATAGTTGTTGCGATGCAGGTGCAGTACTCCACAGGCCACCTCACAGGCCATGCGCTGCAAGGTCAGTGGGTCAGGTGCCATGGACTCTGTCACCCGGCAGCTCCGCAGGTACCCCTTGAGGTCCCCCTGCCAAGAGGCAGCACAGTCACTGCAGGCAGGGAGTGGGCACCGCCACAGCCCACTGCCCAACCCTGGGTACCCTCCCACCAGCTCTCTGGCTCTTCCCCCTCCCTGCTAGCAGCATAGGCCAGCAGCCACCCACCCGGGCCAACCAGGGTGACCCACACCAGGTGGCGCCTAACAGAATGCCTTCTCTAAACTGCCTCATCCACCAGCCTGTGGGGTCAGCTGGACCATGTCCTGTGGCACAGACAAGAACACAGAGGCCCAAATGGATTTGCTCAGTGACTCTGAGCCATGACAGCTCCTGGGGCTGGTGACCAGAGGGACAGCTGGAGCCCCTGACCAGCTGACACAGCCCAGCTCCAGGGAGGCCCAGAAACCAGGAGTCCTGCTACCAGAGCCTGAGGACCCATGACCTGCAGGAAACCAGGGGCCCTCAGCTCATTGTCCAAGCTACACATGTGAAAAGGGAGCAATTTGCAGACTCGGGACTGGAGTTGGTGCTGGAGAAGTGGCCAGTCCAAAGCCCCTGTGCTTAAAACTGGAGTGAGGCCATGGAGCCCAGGTATGTGGGAGGGCAGTGGCCGGTCTGGGACACCTTGGACTGAACCATGAGAAGCACAGGTAGAGGCCAGCACTGGAAGCCCCTCACCCCTGGGGTACAGGAGCCCCAGACCTCAGAGCACCCTCCCCAGTGATGCTGGGTCTTCCCACAGGTCTTCTGGGAAGTGGTGGGGTGGGGCCCCGGGAAGGACTGGCACCATACGCTGGCAGGGCAAGGGAGGACCCCTGCCCAGCAAAGCCCCTGCCCCGTTTCCCAACTGGGCAGCAGCTCAGACCAGAGGGATGAGATGGACAGTGGGCAGCCCCCACCCAGACGGTGGCTCACCAGCGGGCAGAACTCCATCACCAGCAGGTAGGGCGTCACCTCTGCACACTGTGCCAGGCACTGGAGCAGGTTGCTGTGCTGCAAGGCCCTGCAAGAGCCGACAGACTCTGGGAGAGGAGGGAGGGGCAGACTATGCAGGGGGAGGGGACGGCGCAGAACGGGCCTTTGTTACAGGGCCCCGCCCCCACCCCCTCAAGCTGTCCCGAGTCCCTACCTGTAGGGCTGCACCTCCTCCAGGAACTGCATCTGCTCCTGCACGCTGGCACTGGCCTTCAGCTCCTTCACCACCACCTGGGCACTGCTGACGCCCGAGTTCACCTCCCCCAGGAACACCTGCCAGGACAGGCGTCACCGTGGCCGCCCCTGCCTGTGGCTCGGGCTTCCAGGCTTACTCTTCGTCCACTGTGCCCCACCCCCAGGACAAGTCACATCTCTCACTTCTCTCTGTGCCTCAGTTTACTCATTTACAGTATGGGTTGTGGACCCCTTCTAGTGACCCCTCTGGCTGTAATATTCTGAGTCTTTTGTGTGAGTCTCCCTCAAGGTCTCCAGCTGTTCTGCTTTCTCTAGGGATCCACAGTGAGGAAGAGGGACCCAGTTATCCCATCCAGGTTAGGGATCAGGGAAGAAGCCAGGACCAAGAGGCTGCGCCCCTCCATGGACCCCCTCCCCGGGCTCCCCTTCCTGGTACCTCCCAGCACCTCTGACACCAGGACCCCAACCCTGAGGACCTCCTTGGAGCTGGAGAGAGGATCCTGGGGCTGGGGTGACTTCCAGGAGAAGCAGATGCATCCCTGCCTGCTCTCACCTGCCAGGCAAGAGCCCCCTCCCCGTCACAGGTGACACACTCACCTTCCCGAACCAGCCATGGCCAATCTCCTTCAGGTACAGTAGGCTGTGCCGGCCCAGGTCTGTGGACTTGAGGAGCTGCACTGTAATGGAGCAGGGAGCTCAGGAATCTGACAGCCTCTTGCACCTCCCCATCGTCCCTGACCATCCCCTCAAGGGACTGCCGGCTTGGCCCATCCTGGGGAGCTGTCTGATCCCCAAGTGCTGGCCGAAGAGGCCAGGCCGGACTACTAAGGCAGAGGCCGCCCTGAGAGCTGCATCAGGAACCGGGGGCTCCAGGAAGCAGGAAGAGCCACGGCTCCGCAGGCTCCCTCCAAGCATCTTTTGGGAAGGTCTGGAACCGGATGCCTGAAGCCACAGGGACAGCCAAGCCAGGACAGCAGGGCCTGGAGCTGAACCTGCTGCTGGGCCACAGTGGGCGGGCAGCACGGCTGGGCAAGAGGCTGGGGCTGTGGTATGGGGAGGGCTCTGGAGCGGCTGTCCTTGCCCCGCCGCAGGCTGGCATCCCCACATCGGATACACCAAAGGCGCCTTTGTTGGGGGCTGCTTGGCACAGCCTCGTACGGAGTACAGTGGGCCCATTCTCCTGTTGGCCAGGCTGGTGAGGTCAATGGGAGGAAGGGTCATGGAGGGCCCGGGAGGAAGGGGCCAGGGTTGGCCGAGCCCCCCCCATGCCCGCACCCTGAGGGATTCCCTGAATTCTCTCCCACACCAACTGCCCTGAGGGCCCAGGGGGAGGGGGCTCCTCCCAGAGCCCAGAGACCCAGAGAATGTGGACTTGATGCTGAGCAGAATTGGGCTGCGGGCCTCAGGCCAGTCAACAAACGTGCTCGTGGCTTCGAGCACCAGGCCCCATTCCTGCCCACCTAGGGACCGCTCCTCCAGGAGACTCCGAGGGCACAGGGACACATGCATGGTGGCCTGGGGCTGGCAGTCGAGGGCCTTCTCTAGGTCTGCTCTGGAGGCCTACACCAGTGCCTTGGGCCTCCAGCCCAAGATGGAGGCTGGCTCACAGGGAATGGCTGGGTGTCACCATGGCAACAGGCCCTGGCCCCAACAAAGCCCCCACAGGGCCGGCAGGGGCCACCTCCCCAGCCTGACACCCCCTCCCTCCGTGTTCCCAGGAAGTTTCCAGGGAAGGGGGCCTGAGATCTGACTGCCATGGAGGGCCCCCACCCACCACTCAGGCTCCAGGACAGAACCGAGGGTTCTGAAGCTCACCCATGTACCAGGAGCCTCTGGAGTTCAGGCCCCATGTGGGTGGTCAGACTTGCCGGAAGGATCCCGGGACGGGGCAAAGGGGGACGTGGCAGAGACAACCCCACAGACCAAAAAGCCACAGCAAGGGCCCTGACTACACCTGCACCCACTGGGCGAGAAGGCCCCTCACCCCTCTCCCCCCACCCTGGACCTAGTGAAAGGCCAATTCACAGCCCGCCCACGGGGGAGCCCCACCAGGGCCCCTCCTCCAAGCCGGCACAATAGAACTCATGACCCTGCAGGGCTGGCAGCACTGAGGGGGCGGGAATCTGGGGTCAAGCATCCCAGAGATGGCAGAAGAGCCCCTGTCCCAAGAACTTGGGGGCTGAGCCACCCCTGTCCAGAGCCTGCCACGGCCCTCTGTAGCAGGGGAAGCTGGGGTGGAGAGCTATCTCAGAGCCTGCCGCCAGCCAGCTCCCAGGTCCGAGAGAAGGAATTCACACACTTCCAGCCCCACAGCCCAGCCCGATGCAGCCACAGGGAGTCCAGGGCCCGCACATGTGCCCCCACCTCCAGGGCGGCATCCTCCTGAGACACCCCATGCCAGTGCCTGGGCCCTAGAGAGAATCCTCCTTCCCCTGCCTGGCACTCACCTGAGCGCCCCGGCTGCTTGGCCATGGGCAGAGAGACCTCCGTGAGTGGCAGGACGTACACATCGGGCCCGTTCTGCGCTGTGGCTGGAGAGCCCTGGGCCGAGACGTCGGCCACATACTCGTCCCCCTCGGCATTCTCAAACTCCTGCGGGCGGCACGCATGAGCTCGTGTGCGCGGGTTGAGGGAAGGGGAGATGGGCATGGAAAGATCCCAGGTGCAGGTGGGCGGGCTGGGGCGCTTGATCAGGCTTGGCGCCTTCACCCCTTCGGGTCAACGGCCCAGCCCCCTTGCTAGCTACCCAGCTGCCTGCCTCCTCTCAAAGACTCCTGCTCCTCCTCCTCAGGGACACAGCTGTCCCAAGAAGGGCCACGGCCAGAGACAAGAGCTAGGAGGACCCACCTCAGCCTCCAGAAAAGGGACCATGGGCTGCAGACAGCAGTGCCTCGGTCCAGCCTCAGCCCCATCCCTACCCGGCAGGCAAACCAGGCTGAGCCCCACACTGGGGATAGCCGGGGTGGCTGGAGGTAGGGGGGCAGGGGACAGAGGCCAGCTGCCCGTGTCCACACAGAATTAGCCCCAACACTTCTCAGCCACCCGAACCCCAGCTGCCGCTCACCCCAGCCCTGCCCCTTGTTCTACTCAGTCACAGAGCAGCTTCGGGGACGGGCTCCATCACCCCCGGCCCCGAAGTCCTCTGGGAGAAGCAGCTAAGAACCCCCACCTCTTTGGGGACAGGGAAACTTCCTGGTGCCCCCAACCAGCGATCCCACCGGGCACCTTCACCTCAGGGCCCCCACCTACCACTGCCATCTGCCACACGCAGCCCTGGACCTTCACCCCGGGCAGCCGCGCCCCTGCAGGAGCTCCCAAGATGCCTTAAGAGCCTGGCCCTGGGCAGCCCTGGGCTGGACTGCTCCTGACCAGGCTGCTATTTTGAAATGCAGTGGACGCACGCACCTGTCTAGGGGAGACACCTCATCCCCAGGTTCAGAACACATTCCTGAGCTGAGAGCCAAAGTCTCTGGAGACGATCTGGGCCTGACTTAAAATAACTGCTCAGTAAAAAGAGTAATAGCCCCCATCTCCAGTACTGTTATAGGCTCTCTGTCCCTTCCCACAACCCTCACTGCCTGAGTGGGGAAACTGAGGCTCAGAGGGGTCAAGGGACTTCCCTAGGGGCTGGAGCCTGTGCTCCTTGGACAGCTGGCCTGAGAGGGAGGAGGCCTGGGCTCCTGGTACCCCGTGCAGGACCCTGAGGACTCCTCCATTTCTGGACTCCGATGGGGGTGTGAGGCTCTGACGGTGCTCCTGTCAGCCGCCTCTGGCCCACACTTGGACAGGACAGGGCTACTCAGAGATGGGGGAACAGGGATGGGGCATGGCAATTCCCCTCCCAGGGCCCAGGAGACCACCCCCGAATCCCCCTTGGCCTTCTAATCCCAGCCGTTGCCCCGGCCTCACCCACCTGGGCTCTGAAGGGGCCTAGGGCACAGATGCCCACCTCCCCCGGAGTTGGGCCCTGGCTCCAGCACATTACCTGTTGCCTGGGGACCCACTGGTGCCCCCACTGGGTCCTGCCAGCACAGCGGGCGATCAGGTAGCAAAGGGTGAGCATCGGGGACCTGCCCAGCCTCGTGCCCCAGGACACAGCTTCAGGGGCGCGAGTCCGGCACTGGCCCCAGAGCCCAGGAGGGAGCGAGCTGTGGAGGCAAGCCCTCCCGGGGAGGCACGCTGGAATGTTCCGGGCACCATGTTCCCCAAGAGGTGAGGAGGGCGCGGGTAGGAGGGGCTGTGGCTGGCCCTTGTTTGGGGCCTTGTTCTCGCAATGCCCCGAGGAGGGACTGCTTATACAATGGGCCCACACGTCCCACGCTGGGTCTGCACCCCCACTTCTGCCCCCTGCGACCCTGCAGTTCTGGTCCCAGGATGCTCCAGGAAGACACCCAGCATTGTGCCTGGCCCCGCCCCTAGTGGCCAGCAGGTCAGAGAGATGTGTCTCCAAGGTGGGGTAGGGGATCTCTGGGTAAAAGCACAGACCCCACACCTCTCGCGGGGAGGGTGGGGGACATGGCCCTACCACTCAGGCATGCAGTTCCCCCTGGGCTGATGTACATCTGGGCCCACCTCAGAAGATTCTGGAAGAATGAAGGAAGCGGCAAATGTGGACTTTGGAAAAGGCAAATGTTCCTCACCCTCACCTGCCAGGCTGGTGGCATACTTCTGCGACAGAATATACCAGGGACAGGGAGGGCAGGCCCTAGGGCTATCTCGCTAAAATGGAGGCGGTGACGTCGGCAGGGCCTGGGTCACTTAGTACGAAGGTGCCCCTGAAATACAGACAGGGTCTTGTGCTTGGTCACAGGGTGGCTCCTCCCATCCTGACCTCTGACCTCTATCCAGCCTGGGGGTGGGCTGACCCGCATGGGCGTGTGAATAACCAGAGGTGCCCAGCCAGTCCAATCTGTAATTTGCTAATTGACAGGCATGTGGCCCACACAGGCTCTGGGACAGGTGCCTCTAGTTGGGCTTCTTAACTCTAAGCTTTCCTGCTGGGTTCCCCGAGCTGGACTTGGGGAGGTCGGCGGGGGGACTTACAGGGTACGGGGACAGGACTTGGCCCCCAGCCTTAGGAGGAGAAAGGCTTTGGCTCTAGGATTCAGCCTAAGGAGGGTGGCTTAGTGAAACTGGCTGTGCACTTACTTGGCTGTGCTCCGTAACCAGCCACCTGATCTCACCCCTGAACAAAGTCCTCTGAGGGCAGAAGGTGCCGGACCATGGTGATTCCAAGCACCCTGGGCTTTGGTGCTGGGATGTACATGTGGGAGGCTTGAGCAGGTATTTGAGGGGCCCCTGCTGGTGCAGCTCCTCCACCAGGACTCAGGGGCCTGGGGAAAGTGAACTCCCTTTCCCACCAGCCCCCTGCAGGGCCATCCTCAGCTTCCCTGAGCACTCAGAGGCCTGATTCCAGGCTGAGATAGAACGACGACAGGCCACGCTCCCACAGAGGACAACTAAAGTAGAGGAGGCGGTGGCCAGGGTCCCCAAGAGCCCCAGATCCCAGGTCTGGGTCCAGAAGTTCCCCCGGTGGCTCTGCAGCATTTACAGCCACCCAGCAGCCACCTTGGTGGCCCCAGAAGGGAGAGAAGCTCAGGGTCAGGTGGACACGAGAGGGCCTCAGCCCATGTGATTCCTGGACTGCCCCTGCAGACCCCCAGCCCTCACCTTGAACCCGATGCCGCCCTTCTTACAGCACAAGCAGGCCAGCATGAGGACGATGACGGTGAAGAGCCCCGAGAAGGACACAGCCACCACGGCAAGGGAGGACGACCAGGAGAGCTCGCTGAGCGGCGCACCGTCTGCCGAGAGAGCACGGGTGAAGGGCAGCCGGTGCCCCAGGTGCCCACTCCAGGGGCTCACTGTCCTCGCCGGCCCCGGGCTCCCAGCCCAGCCTGGACTCACCGCATCAGGGCTAAGCCTCAGCACCCGACCCCCTGCTCCACGAGGCGCGGCCAGAGCAGGTGGCCAGAGCCTGCAGTCCTGCGGACGGCCACAAGGCGCCACTGTGATCTCACTGGGGGGATGCTGGATTGGTAAAGTGGCCACAGACTGCCCAGCTCTCAGTTCTCGGGTTCATGGACACCTCTCTGAGAGGTCAAGGTCTTGAGGGCTGCTGAGGACCCCCCTACCTAATCTCGCTCAATTCTGGTCATCCCACCTGCTCCTCTAGGGGTGGGAAGGAGTCATAGACCCCACCAAGCAGGGGAGACAGTGGAGCTGGCTGCCGTCCACTGGCCACATGCCGGGCTCTGGACAGCTGGGGGTCAGGGCCGTGAGACACAAGGCCCTCCTGGCCTCTGAGGTGCAGGGACCCCGCTGTACCCGAGAAGGTGTCCGTCTGCCGTGCAGCAGGGTTTCCCCATGCGCCTGGCGTCACCAAGCAGTCCCCTTGCTGAACGCACACTAGGGCCCCTCTGGTACTGTCTCTGTCCCCCTTCTGCAGCCCCAGGCCCCCATGAACCCCTCATCTCAGATGGGGAAACATAGCACAGCATGCCCCACCTCCAGCACCCAACTACGGGTCCAGGGTCTGGCTCCCACATTAGGGCATCCTAGCTGAACCGGGGCTTTGGGGAAGCTCTGTCCATCTGATTCCCACAGGACGGCAGAGGGAGGGTCCCCAAGCATGCCCTGGACAGAGGCGGGCACTCTGAGCCAACAGCTCCATCTCCATCCTGGCCCGTCCCACCACCCTGGCTCCAATTCTCACCTCTTTCCCAAGGGTTTCCTCTGTCCTCTCTCCTCCCTTTGGCCCCTGGAGGTTTCCCAGCCATCCCCAGTGCCTCTAGCACAGAGCACCTGCAACCTTTCAGCTCCCAATAACTAGCTCCTTGAGACCCCGTCACCTGACCCGGCACACCCACTGAGGCAACTGCCACCTCCACCCCACTGGACAGGCGAAAAAACAGAGGCTCAGTGGGGAAGGGGGCCTGCCCGAGGCAGCACAGCTGACCTCAGCTGGCAAGCTCTGCCGAGACTGCAGGCTAATGGGGGTGTCTGGGAGGGCTACCTGGAGGTGGTGTGATCCTGAGGGTCTGGGAAGATAGTGCAGCTAGGGCTTCCTGCTCAGGTCTCCAGGCTTTCCCCATGCCCACATATGGGGGTCCAGGGTGGCCTGGAGCAGGGGCCAGCTAGGGCTGGGGAACTAAAGAGGCGGCCTGAAAAAGCAAGACCCAGGCTCCACGGCAGGAAACCCACGCAGAGGGCGGCCATCCCCAATGGGCCGGGCCGTGTCCCTACCCCACGGGGCTGTGAGCAATGCCGTACAGGGACACTCACAGGCAGTTTCCAGGGTGTGTGTGCAGGTGTGTACGTGAATGTGTGAATACCCCATGACTGCGTTCTCATGACGGAATGGCATAAGCGCTGGGTGCCCACGCTGGAGACTCTCAGGTGCGGAGCAGCCCAGCGCCCCCGGAAGCAGCCAACGCCCTGGATGGCTGCTCCGTTGCCATGGTGCCCCATCTCCCGGCTCCATCTGGTGCCTGCCTGGCGTCAGCGCACTCCCCTCCTGCCACTTCCACCCACACCCTCCTGGCAGAACCATCCTGCGTGGGACAAACTGGCGGGGGGGAATGAGCCCCCCTTGTGGCCTTGAGGCCTGGAGCTGGTCTCCTGTCCTCAGAGATGGCTGCAGGCTCTGTGGCCCATCGCCCACCGTCCCTCAGGGCCGGACAAGCTATCTGCTGGGCGGGAACTGCCCCCGGAGGTCCATCTTCCACCTCCCCTGCAGCCTCCGCTCCCAGCCAACCTCAGCCTCTGCCTCGGCCTCCGCCTCGACCTCCACCTCAGTCACCCTGGGGTCCTCTTCCATGACCCCGTTCCCGCTGAGGCCCTTCCCATTCGTGAGGCGGCCAGCCCTGGGGCACGGCCCTCCCATGGACCCCCTCTGATCTCCAGCAGGCCCCAGGCCAGAGCTGGACAGCAGTGGGGGAGGTCATTCAGCACAACATGCCGGACTCAGGGGACTGTGGAGGTGGGCATAGGGCACTGCTGGGCCTGGTCTGCCACACCCCATGCCCACGTTCCTGAAGGTGGATGTGTCAGGTGGGAGGTGGCCACACAGGAGATGCCGTGCACTTGGACTTCCAGATCTACGCAAAAGGTCAGTTTCTGGAGCCCCCACTTGTGCCCAGAGCCCCCAGTGTGCCCAGAACAGTAGAGACTACAGCAGCCTCACCTGAAGACCAACGTGTGTGTCAGGAGCTTTACCAGAGACCCTTTTTTCAGACTCATTACCACACCATTTTGCAGATAAGAACACTGAGGCCCATGGAAGTTTTGGTCCTCAGGCCCACCTGCTCTCGGCTACCCTGACATCCTCAGCCTGGAGACCTGAGCAAGAAGCCTAGGCGACACATGCCATCTTTCCAGACACTCAAACTCACACTGCCTCCCGGCAGCCCTCCCAGATGCCCAGTCCAGAGGTCACCTCTGGACTCCAGAGTCCTTCTGTGTCCTCATCAGCAGGGATGTCTAGTGTCAGCTCTTAGTGCCCTGGGCACCATGACACCTGTTATAACAACACAGCACACACACGTGTCCACACATGGTCGCACACCAGACACATGTGAGCATACCGGCACAAACCAGTCACAGGCCAACAACCATGCATGTGGCCACAGGCACAGACTCACTGTACACTGGAAACACATACGAACACACATGCAGGCACACATACACACACGTGCACATGTCTATGCACACATGCACACAGCCCCTCATTCAGTCCCTACATCATGCCCGCTTGGTAGGAACCACCACTTCCACTTTACAGGTAAGAAACTGGGGCCCAGGAGGTCACGACGGCACCCAAAGGGCGGCCCGGCTGGCGCGTCTGGGTCTGGCCCAGCTCTCTCGGCTGTGCTACCCTGCTCTGGACCCATGCCTGCCCGCATGTGATGGCATGTGTCGCCTAGGCATGTGAGCCGCAGGGAATGACCCACTCCCCCCGAGGCCTGCCCCGTAGCGGCTAGGGAGGCCCGTGTGGGCCTGCTCACACGACCTCTCGTCCATCCCAGCGGTAAGAAGGGCCAGCCGGGGCCTCACGCATCCTGGAGGCTTGTGCCCGGGAAGACAAACACATATAATGTGGTTACCGGTCTCAGAAATTTCCTGAAGAGCCCACTTAAGCAGACTTCACTGTTCCACTCTCCAGGGCTGACCCAGCAGCAGCTTGCCCAAGCTCCTCGAACCCCTGCCTGGCCTAGCTGAGGCCACCAGGCCCATCAGGCCTTTTCTGCCAGCACCTGCTCCGAAAAGCCACATCAGCCCCCGGAAGCCCCTGCCGTGCCCCTGGCCCTCCGTGGCACCGTCCAGGCGGTGCCCCACTGGCCATGGCGAGGACACGTGACGACGCTCCAGCCCCACCTACAGCCGGGCCGGGCTGCATGCGGGAGCCCATGGCCAACACGTCCAGACAACAATGTGCCCACGAGCATCCAGACCTTGGTTCCCCGATGCCACTGTCCACGAAAGGAACCGGGGCTTCACCTGTGGGGAACAAAATGCAGGATCGCCACAGCCCTGAGGCCACCGTGCACCAGCCTGGCCCGCTTGTGCCGAATCAGCCCCTGCTCAGCCCCGCAGACGGTAACGGTATTCCTCCCCTTCCTTCAGTACCTCCTGCTCGGCATTCTGCTGTGACGGAGAGCTGGGCCTTCACCCCCTCTTATCTATCATTCATAACAGTACTTAGGACACTTATTTTCAGTCCCGGTTATTTATAACACACTTAGGGATTCCTATTTTATTTCAGCGAGTTGTAGTGTGTTACCATGCTTATTTAGTTTGATCCTTAAATTGTCCCAGATTTGGTAAGAGGGCACCAGGCATGCAGAACCATGGACCCCTAGTCCCAAAGTCCACCTCCTAATCCCCAAACCTGTGGCTGTGTCACCTGGCTTGGCAAAAGGGACCCTGCAGATGTGATTAGTCAGGACCCCGTGATGGGGCAATCAGCCTGGGTTTCCAGGAGAGTCCGGTGTTGTCGCAAAGGTCTTTGGGAGACAGAGGCGGGAGTCAGGGTCAGAGAGGATTTATGATGGTGGAGACAGAGCCACAGAGAGGAGGGGACCGTGAGTTCAGGCCTGCAGGCATCCTAAGGAGCTGGAAGAGCCAGGAGAGGGTTCCAGCCTCCAGGAGCCGACCCTCCAACACTTCAGTGTTAACCAGTGAAAGTGATTGTAAACTTTGACCTCCAAGCTGGGTGCAGTGGCTCACACCTGTAATCCCGGCGCTTTGGGAGGCAGAGGCGAGAGGATTGCCTGAGCCCAGGGGTTCGAGACCAGCCTAGGCAACTTGGCGAGACCTCGTCTCTACAATAAATTTTTAAAAAAATTAGCCGGGTGTGGTGGCGCACACCTGTAGTTCCAGCTACTTGGAAGGCTGAGCTGAGGCGGAAGGATCGCCTGAGCCCGGCAGGTAGAGGCTGCAGTGGCCGCGAGTGTGCTACTAGCCAGCCTGGACGAGAGGAGCGAGAGTCCGCCCCCAAAACAAAGCAAAACAAAAAACTTTGACCTCCAGAACTCAAAATAATAAACTTGTGCTGTTTTGAGCCACCAAATGTGTGTTCATTTGTACAGCGGCCACAGGAAACTCACACAACGGCCCTTTTGGTGGCTCCCCCAGTGGCCTAGCAAAGCCCCTGAGGAAGAGCACCTGCCTCAGACACCCCTGTGCCTCCTGGGGTGCAGGACAGGGCTGACAAGTAGGGGGATACCCACAGGAAGTGTGTCCAGACAGGTGTCCATCCCTGGGCGGGTCCTAGGGGACTGCCAGGAGTCCTCAAAGTAGTGGA